GTTCAGTCTTATGAGCTTTTTTTCCAACTTTCTTAACCGTGGGCCCAGCTTCACTAATTGCCAAGAATGTGGGATAGTCATTTGTGTTATTCTCCTCTTCAAGCGAACCCACTATGCCATTGGCGAGCTCTTTTGGACCAAGAGCATTCTCTACGATCCAGCCCCGAGTACCTTGCACTAACTGTGAACATTTAAGTTGAGTACCAAATTCTTTTTCAACTGGAAGCAGGTCCGATGAAAAAGTTGAACCTACCTTCCATAATGGCTTATTAATCGTTGTGCAAACCTCATCACCACCGTCCGGACAGAGGTTCTCATGAGTAGATGGCTTTTCTTCTACATAATCTATTTCTGCCTCGTCTTTCTCTTTATCCAGGCCTTCTTTCTCTTCTTTATTTTCTTCTTTAGGCTCTTGGTCCTCGATCAATTCCAGCCAATTCTCTTCTTCATTTATATGAAGATGATCCTTAAAGTGATCAGCCGTTAAAAAAATTGGAATAGATGCACAAGAAGGAGATTTGGAGGAGTGTGAAGTATTGGATTCACTTGGGGCATTCCAGGCGCGACGTAAAAGATGGCTGGACGGCCGATGCTCGAGACAACCAGCTGTAGAATCAGTCACATCTCGGTCACCTGAAACAAGATACGATAGTTAAAGCAGAATAAAAGGAGTGATCAAGTCAACTGCAAGAGAGTATGATATTTAAACATAACGACGACGACATAAAAAAGAACGAATAATGATAATGCACTCAAACTTTCGTAACTAAACCAGTTTAAATATATTCATATAAAGTAGGTTTAACTAATAATTAAGGGAGGAATAATGAAGGAAGAATTAATAAATATCATTACGAGTGAAAAATGTAATTAAATTATTTGTTCGACATAACAAAAAAGTACTAGATATGAATAAAGAAGAGGCAAAGCTGGATATGGATTAATAAAAGGAAAGGAAAACAGTTGATACGGTCAGAAATTTAAAATAATGATTGTATATGTAGAAAAGATGAGAAAAACTTCCTGGAGAAGAGAAGGTAAAAGGGGTCTGGGAACGATAAATCCATTTATCTCATGGAAGCTGGAAAAAGAGAACAAGAGCAAAAAAAGGATGGCAAACTTTGAGCTAGACATACGAATGGGAGAAGGCCAATAGAAATAGAAAATTGATAGAGTTCATGGTTATATGAAGAAATGGGAACGTAGTGTTATGAGTAAATATATAAGTTGCGGAAAAGTTTTGCCATAGTCAATATATGAAACTAAATCAGTTGGGAGGATAAATCAACTTGAGCTATGCTCTAACCAAAAAATGACTGCTAGCAAAATGATCTATAAATGATTTGAAGCATAAAACGAATAGTTTTGTTTTAGGGCTTGTTTGACCTCGTTTTTACAACTAAGAAGGATTCAATAAACAGTCTTTATTAAAATTTCCCACATTTTTTTCGTTCATACTAGACGCGCAGTAAAAATAGGATCTAAGATAGGTTAATATGAAGCATGAAGATATACGAAAGGAGACAGTTTCACCCAAAGATAATGTCTTAGATAAAGGGCAAATTTAAGGGCCTCGCTCTTTCAAATATTACCACAAAGGTATTATCTATGCAAAATTGACTTTGCAGATTGACATTAATTGCTGAATATAGTACCATAAGCGTAAACCACTCCATTTGTCACACAATATTTAGTATGAAAAATCGAATATGCAATCTTCCAGCTGAGCATATCATATTCACGGTATGGGATGGCCGACTTGTAATGGGACCAGAATAAGCTCAAGGCGACCTACAGTACCTATTTAAAAAGGCTTTCATAGGCTAATGGCTAATCTGATATTTCCTAATATGCTAGGTTCCTCAAACGGATGTCTGATCTGTCTATAAAGATGCCCCAATACAATACACGAATAATAATCTTTTTGCGAGGAAAAAGATTTATCAACAATTTATAAAAAAAGCTTAGAAAAGACATACATTCTTACTTGATCTCCCTATGTCGCTTAGGGCGATATAATGACTAATAGTTGTGTTTTCCCAGATTCAGATGAGTAGGCCTCACGATAACATTAAATTGCAGTAAGTAGTGTCTTCAAGGCTACACTGTGGTTTCGACCTAGCATCCAACGGAATTTGATACCGGGTCGTGAGTAACGTGGCGAATTTACCTTTCAATTTCACTACTCTGCAAAGGGGGTCAGTTGGTAACAGGACAGATTCGGCATTCGAGGCAAACAAGGCCTCTTTAGCTCGCATTTTATAGTAGAATTGTGGATTAAGCAAATATGTGTGCTATTTATTACGAGAGCGTTACTTATTTTTCATATAAGTAGTCTTTAAGACTCAGTAATTAAACGAACTAGAGTTAATGGGCTCTTATCCAAGCACTATTGATAGTTTTGAAAACTACTTATATCGAAGAAAGATTAACTGACAAAAATTTCATTGGATCGATGGCCGATTGCACGCAAGCTATGTTGGGTGACTGGATGGATCCATAACAAATGTGATTAGATTTTTACGGCAAAACTCGGGTAAATTAGCTGATGAGGAAATTTATTAAAACACATAAAGTCAAAAGAACAGACCAGTATAAAGACAAACCAAAGTATAGTTTAAACTCAGCCAAGATAATCCCAATTTATATATTAAACTACAAAGTATGGCAAAGTAGACGAGAGAGCATATAATCTAGAAGCTAGAAAGTCTCTACAGTGGGGCATAGTAGACTGAATACGGGCACCGTGCATATTTGTCAGTATATCCAGACGGTAAAAATATTTTGATTTTTTTAAGCACAAAAGTATTTTAAATCTGGAAAGCTATTGCTCGATTAAGTCGTAGTATTGAAACTTTTTTCCAACTCACTGGGACAATTTAAACAGTGATTAATAGTGGAGAGACTAGGCCATCACAGCCTTAGGGTGTTCAAAGGCGTTATGCCAGAAGTCGGGTCAAGAATCGAGTCTGTATAGCATCTCTTCTGGGCGCTACGCAAGAAAACGTGATCTAGAAAAAGCCTATCTTTGCAAAAAATAGCGACGGCTTGCGGGACTTTTTTTCTTGATATTATGTCAAGGGATTTGATTAATGAACATGAGAAAGACCCATGGAAAACCCCGAGAGATTTAATTGTGATTCTCCTTGAAAAATTTTCAAGATATATATATATTCCGACTTAATCAATATCATTGATTCAAAATGAAAATCTAACTGCTTACTACACAATGCAAATTTTTGTTTGTAAGCTGATTATTCACCTAGAATTTTGCTATAGATATATGAGCGAGGCTTTAACAAATTCGAGTTAGAGCAACCAAGATAGAGGATAAAGAAAAATAAATTAAATATTCTCATGAATAACTCTGAAAGGATTAAATTTAAATATTAATAGAAAAAGAGGGCTAAAAATTCTTAAGGTAAGAAAGAAATGTGATAGCCTATAGCAAGGTAAACCTTATTTTTAGCACTGGGCCGCTATGTCTAAAGGAGTTTTCAAGAACGCCTCAAATATTAAAATACATTATCATGTGAAGAAGTAGGCCTATAAGTAACTATACAATATTCAAAAGCTAATAATAAAGCTATAGCCAACCGTTCATTGTTTCTTCATCAATGTCTTTTTCAATGGATGAATGGAGAGAAATGTGTGGTGTAGCGATATCCTGAAGTATAGCAGCATTCTGATTCAAGCAAAGTCGAGCTTGTCGCTCTGCTATGGACTGTTTTACATTTGTTTTAACTGCGACCGTAGGTAAACAATTAGGAAAATTTGTTGTCCCATCAACCAGGCCGTCACAGCATGCAATAGACGTGTCGATCGGCCTGATAATGAAAAAAAGAATATGAATCATATAAGAAAGTAAAGAAACAATAATGACCTCGTTGTCGCAACTTGGTCTTGTGTTCAGGGAGACTATGTTGAACGCACCGAGTCCGAAGTCGTCAGTCATAGTAGTTGTCTTAGCATCTGACCGTGGACTTGATACATTCTCAGACGTTTCGCCGGCCTCGTAGTCGGCATCATCGTCTTGATTCCCAGCATCTGACAGTGGACTTGATACATTCTCAAACGTTTCGCCGGCATCGTAGTCGGCAATTCCCAGCATCTGACAGTGGACTTAATACATTCTCAAACGTTTCGCCGGCATCGTAGTCGGCATCATCAA